CCCAACCCCTTCTGGCCCCCCCTAGTGAGTTTATAGACGGTCACCAGGTCCCCCCTCAGCCTTCTCTTGTGAAGGCTGAACAAGTTCAGGTCCAGTAGCCTCTCATTGTAGGGTCTGCCCTGCTGTCCCTGGATCATGCAGGTGGCCCTCCTCTGGACCCTCTCAATGTTGTCCACATCCCTCTTGAAGTGGGGTGCCCAGAACTGGACACAGTACTCCAGCTGTAGCCTGACCAGTGTTGCGTAGAGGGGGAGGATCACCTCCTTGGCCCTACTTGAGATGCACCTGTGGATGCATGATAGGGTCCGGTTAGCCCTGCCGACCGTGACCTCGCATTGTCGGCCCATGTTTATCTTGGAGTCAATGACGACTCCAAGATCCCTTTTTGCCTCCATGCTCTCAAGAAGGGAGTTTCCCATCTTATAAGTGTGCTGCTGGTTACTACTGCCCAAGTGCAATGCCCTGCACTTGTCAGTATTGAAACGCATCCTGTTTTTGTTAGCCCACCCCTGCAACCTATCCAGGTCTTTCTACAGTCCTTCTCTCCCTGCTAATGTGCCCACCTCACCCCAAATTTTGGTATCATCAGCAAATTTGAACAGGTTGCTTTTGACCCCATCATCCAAATCGCTGATAAATAAGTGAGCACTACCTAATTTGTTAACAACCACAACAGTGTATGTTCAAAGTAACATTTATCTGTTTTTAATATTAATTCATAAAAGTTTAATTTGATGAATTCATCCATTTTTCAGTTCTTAGGCTTCAATTTCTATAAATGTATGCCACAATTCAACATACTTCAAGTATATGCTTAACCTTAAAGACGTGGGTAATCCAATCTCTAATTAATAAGAGCATAATCATGTGTGCATGATTTATGGAAACTGGACCTTAGTTATTATTCATAATTTTCAGTTTATAAAACATATAGACATAGGCAAAATAAACAGCCATTCAGAATCTGAACAAATATTCATTCTCTCCACTATGTAATATTTGTCCAGTCCTAGCATTTGTACTACTTCATATACTTAATAATTTCACATAAAAATAGTTTTCTAAGTACAAGCAGTCCTCGACCTATGGCGTTGGGACTTACGGCGATTTGCACTTGCGGCACTCTGCCATTTACACCCATGTTACTATTTACGGCACTACAGGGAAATTTACAGTGAGAAAAAAAGGGCAGCAAAACAAACATCCCTGGATCGGTTTTTCAAAAAGCCATCAAGTGGCCCTAAGTCTCCCCAAAATCTCCCCAAAGAAGCCCTTCTGAATTCCATGACCCGGATGAAGGTGTTCCTTCACCTTCTGATTAAGTAAAATTTTGTGATTAGTTACTGTATTGCCCTGTTTAATCAATTTATATACAGTACACTTTGAAAAGCTGTGTACTGTACAGTGTATATCATTTATGGTTGATTAAACAGTTGATTTAAATATGGTGTTTACGGTCATTTCTATAAAAAGTTGGGTATCAGGCCCTTGGTCAGGAACATAACCCCCTATTATAACATTGTTTCTATAGGAAAATCAGATTCAACTTACATAGTTTTGACTTACAATGCCTTTTCCAGGAACGTAACCCAACGTAAGTGCGAGGACTGCCTGTATGTATGATCTAGCATATACTCTAAAAATCATGAATGTAAAGACCAGATATATCAATTGTACAGCTATCAAAGGATATCAATATCCTGCTCTATCTGCATGATTCTGTATTTATACAAGAGGAGCAAAACTTCTCCATTCAGGGTCAAAAGGCAACTTAGCTCACTTCCATAGATACTGGAGCACTCGGCATAAAAGAACTGAACAGCTGATGCAGCAGCAGCTCTCCATTTTTAAAGCAGGTAAAATGTATGTTTGTCCAAAGCCTTAGTTGCTGCAGCTATTTACATTTAAACAAAACAACTTTAAAAAAAAAAGCTTTGCAAGCAGGTTTAGATATTTTTTAAATTAAAATCCTAATAGGGTCCTTATTTTGTAGGGACATCCCAGGGCAGTTTCGTGACTTGTTGAAAAACTAAATACAGTTTATGTTTTGTTTTTTTAATTTGTTTAGAAGGACACAAATCCACCAACAGTTCATTTAAAATTGAAAATTAGTTAATTTAATTTTAAAGTAAGGGAAGGTGAACATAAATAAAGTAAGAATGCCTGTGAGACTATTTACTATCTGAAACAAAAATAAAAACATTGGCTGAGGGACAGAGTAGGTGGTAAAAGATAAGTATTTAGTGGAGGCACCTACATGCCCAACTCCCACTGAAGTTAGAGGGGAGTGAAGTGCCTATTGCAAAATGCACAAAGTGGCAAATCTGCACCCCTAGCTATGCAAGTATCTTTTAATGTTGCTTTGTTCTGGAAATAAATATTTTACTGTATTGCAATTGCTACCCCAGTCCCTTGTCACACTGCACAGCCAACCCTGTCTTGGTTAATTCTTATTTTTGTCCCATAAAAAAGCCTCGTTCATATTCCCTGCCATGCATATTTATGCAAATTATTCCAAGTGAGGATTTTATAGATAAACTTCTGGACTAACCTGTTGATGGGGAAATACAATAATCATCTTCTACTGATTGGCCATAAAGGTCTTCGTCTTCAAAATCTAAGCAGCAAAAAAGCAAGTATTAGTCCACTCAAATTTAACCTATATATATTTTAAATACTTGAATACCCTTTTTCTAGTCTAAGTATTCAACTGCAATATTGCAGAAATACAAATACTAAGAGGTGCTGGCTGCGGGTCGGAATAATGATTTACATACTGGTGATATTCAACCAGCCATCTATTGGGGAACAAGGAAGAATTCAAGAACTTTCTTTAATGGCTCTTTTATAACTTAGTATCCTGGGAGCTAAGCAGTATTTCAGATATGTCCTCCATCGGCTTCTGTGACTGTCCTCTCCTAGCTTCATGGTACAGAGTCTTCTTTCTTCACTCTTGATATAGGATTTCTCTCTCTGCATTTCATCTATAAATCCCTATGGAACTACAGTCCAAACCACACACAACAGTGGGATGGGATGGTGTTCAGAAAAGTTTACATGTGCAGGATGGACAGTTAGCTAATCCTTCTAGTCATCTCAGCTACTGTGCTACTGGCAGTCATGAATGTGATCAGTTTTTTCTGAAGCTGCTGTCAGAGGCCAGGCATACTGAGTAACTAAAGCATAAAAATGCAGGAAGGGACCTCAGAAGGTGATCTCACCCAATCCCATCCCTGACTAAAACCATCCAAATCAAATGGTTGTCCTGAAAACCTACTGAAAATTTCCAAGGCTGCATATTCCACATCTCTAGGTAGCCTGGGGTCCAATAATTAACCACCCTCCCAGTGAGAAAGTTCTTCCTAATATCTACCCTAAATTTTCCCTGATACAACTTGCTACACCCATGGCCACAGAGGATAGTCTATCTCTATCCCCATTACAACCACCCTTCAGGTCCTTGAAGTTATCAAATCTCTGTTCAGCCTTCTTTTTCAGAATACATCATTCCAGTTCTTTCCGTCACCAAGTCACGTTTTGCAGGCCTCTAATCATTTCTGGCACGCTCTGATGAACTATTTCCAAACTGTCCACATCTTTTTTCAAGTGTAAGGACCAAAACTGGACACCATACTCAAGATAAGGCTTCATCAGTAATGATGAGAGTAGACAGATCATGTCCCTGGATTTGCAATGACACTTCTGTTAATACATCATTTTATTATTTTTCTTTTTTCACAACAAGAGCACACTGTTGACTCACACCCAGCTTATGGTCTACTGTAACACCTTTTCTGCAGTACTGCAGCCTAGCCAGTTATACCTTAGTCTGTACTTGTGCATACAATTGTTCCAATCAAAGTGCTGGACTTTGTACTTGTCCTTTTCATCTGACTGATTTTGGATTTTGATTTTCTCTATTTTGTCAAGGTCATTCTGAATCCTAGTCTTATTCCACAGAGGGTCAGCAACTCCACCCAACTTGATGTCCTCCACAAGTCTGCCAAGTGTACACTTAGTTCTATCCTCCAAATTAAGGAAGATAAATATTAAACAATCCCAGAGTGAGAACAGACCCCTACTCAATACATCTTACCAATTAGACACCAATACACTGATGAATACTCATGGGGCACAATGTTTCATCCAGTTATATGTCCACCTTACAGTGCTTGCATCTGTCTGTATTTAATTAGCAAACCGGTTTCAAACTCAACTGGCCTCCTATCCAGCATGCAAGGCTAGTCCAAAGCATGCTACACACAGTGTGCAAGTCCCATCTGAGACTGGAAGGTGACAGGGTAGGGCCCCACAGGTTAGATCCAGCCCACAGGCCATATCTTTAACACCCCTGACTTAGTCCGTTAATGAAAGTCATGGGAGACGGCATCAAATATAATAAAATTAAATATCAAATAAACGAATTTATGCATTTACTAATATTTAGCAAATATTAAGTTATTATGCACATTGTTTAAAATCAGCTTATAAAACAAATGAGCAGAAAGTTGCAAATACAGTAGCCAAATGTTAAAAAAGGATTAGCAGCATTCTGGGAAATGAAGGTCTCAATGATCTACCTACATAATATGACTTGATATAGCATCACTGCTTTTGTAAAAGATAATCATGCCTGTCAAAATGAGTCAGAATTATTTCAGCGTGTCAAAAAGTGGCTAAAAGAAGTGATTAAATTCCAAAATATGGTAGACTCCTTACATAAAGCAACTAAGTAGCAGTCAGAGTGAAATAGGAAATATTGTCATGTATTAGAAAAAGTTAATATGAAAAGAACAAATGATTGCATTTAATATAGTCAAAGATTAATAGTGCAGTGCTCCAATTTTCCATACTAGGGCTGGTATATTTGAAATATACTTCCTAGATACCCAGCAAGTCTAAATGACGGGTAACACAGTGGTAACTAAAATCCAAATCCTGACAAATGTACCCTGGAAAGAATAATTTTAAGTACTATATACCCACGGTGGGAAAAAGACCAGACATCCCAGTGGATACTACAGAATACTATATTTAGGTAAGGAATAATCAACAGCACAAATACAAAATGGGGAATGACCATTTGCAGAATCTCTTCAGAGGAGCTAGAGGCTGTGGCAGATTAGGGAATGGCAACCTTTTGCCCCTGTGGGCCTGAATTTGAGATCTGGTGCCCTTCCACAGATTGCATATCTCCACCCCTGACTCATTTGCCCTTATTCTCTCTACAGATACCCTGGCCCTCTGCAGTAAAACCCGTTTCTCGTACTGAGTGATAGTGAGAGAGCAGCAACTTGGCCAAGGAGGCAGGTGCTGTAGAGGGAACGGACAACTTGGCACTACAGCGTGCCAACCCATTTCCTGTGCTACCTCACAACAGCCTGGAGGTTCCCAGGCTGGATCTAATGCCTTCACAGGCCAATCCAGTCCGCAGGCTGCGGCCTCCTAATGTTGACTCGCATTCAGTTTGTCCTCTACAATTTCATACAGCTGCAAAACAGGCCCAGCAACCTATTGTAAAAGTAGGTGTATCATACACAAAGAAACAATGGGCAAGACAAACGCCAAGATTTCCTTGGAGTCTCAGAACTGCACAGATTCCCTATGCCTGAAGAAAGGCAATTGCGCCCGAAAGCTTGCCAAGAACTTTTTTCCATCTACTCAGTTGGTCTAATAAAAAATATCACATCTACTCAAAGAACCTTGCCTGATGAAATTTCCATTAGAAATTCACAGCTGGGGTCTTTCTGAGGTCTTTGCCACTTTTACATCTCTGCAGGCAAAAGAAGATTAAGCTGTGGCACTTGCCCAGCAGCACCACAAGTCAAAAAAAATAAAAAAGGTCAAGACAGAAGACAGAGACAGAATCTGAGACTGGGCGTGATACCAAAGGCTGCCTGAAAAACCCAGCCCTTGGGAGCAGGCCCTGCCAATTCCACCTTGGGGAGACCAGGCTTCTGCCAGAAGGGCTTCAGCCATGACCCTCAACCCTGCTGCGCAAGCAACATCTGTCATCTGGGTCCGGAGACACCCAGCTGGTGCCAGGGGAAGGCTGGCAATGGCGCTGAAAG